TATTAATATATGAGAAACAATTTGGATCATATATTTCATTTCTATAAAAATAGCTGCAAAATAATCCAGAAAATACAGGTAAAAATATTATTGTTCTTTTTTCCAAAACTATAGCAACATTATCACAATCACAGTAAAAGCACTGAAGTTATCATTAGTCTATAAGTTGAAAAGTTGGTGCTGCCCTTTTTTGACCACATATTTTCTCCATTCTAATTTGTACACATCATCTGATTCTTCACCTATTTCAATCATAAGCCCATCACTATTATATCTAAGTCCATCCACCTTGCTGTAGGTTGCCTTCTTCTCTACTTTCCTTCCATAATGTGTCCAAAGTAGAAGAATTTGAATGTGGTCATTTATGTCTCAAGAGAAAATTCTGAATTGATTTCTTCAATAATCCATTTGTTTTCTTGATTGTCCATACTATTCTCAGCAGTCTTCAACAACATCAAACATCAATATTGTTTTTATCCTAATTCCCACCTTACTAAAAACTTTAAATATATATGACAAGCTATATACAAGCATATATATGACATGCCAAAACAAAAAATTGTAACTCCTTCATATACAGCTGTGATAGTAAAATCCCCTATATGTTTTATAGATTTCAATAAAATGTTTATTTAACAAATTTATATAGTCACCCATCTACCCAAATAATTGTGATTTTTCCACATTTTCCACAATTTAAAAAGAGTAAAAAAAACTATGGTAAATTATATCACAGGACAGATACCTCTATTGCAGAGTGTAGGAAAGAACAAACCTAAGGTCAGACTTATGTTAATCACTATAAAAGACAATAATTCATAAAATTTTATCAGGAAAAGCAGTGGTAAGTTGCATAGAAGTCTTATCTTCTGTACTATGGGAAGCATTCTTCCCATCTTACTTTGCACAGTGAAGGAGATTCATGTTTTCATTTCCACTGCCTTTCCTCAGGTTAATTTAACAATTTGCAGACTGTTCATCCTGTGGCATTGTGGTTTGAGTGATATGGTTTTGTTAAAACATATCCGTTACCCTTCAGGCAAGTATGGCTGCTTCTCATCTTTCTTGCACTTTACTAGCATACCCACAAATCAGCAGATATGGTCTGCTGTACCATTATTTTTGAAGAGTGGTTTCAAAGAACCTTAGTGTGACTCTGCCTCATATTTCTGTAAGTAGCGATATATATATATTATGGCGATTAAGAATGAAATATTTTAATTTTCATTCTTAAACAATTGTGCCTAGCTATTATTTAAAAACAATTATATTTAGAATAAGGAACTCAATAAAACGTTGTTTCAGTTACCCTCTTATAAACAATAGCATAGGAATATTTTAAAAATAAAAATATTACATGTGAAAGAAAAACCTGAAATATTTTTATAGATTATCTTGCTATTATATAGCTTTTAAATAACCTTTTTGAAATGTGATAAAGCCAGGACAAACATTTATGGATCCTAGTCTCATTACTTCAGCTAAATTTGACTTTTTCCCAACTTCAAACACTTGGCACAATGATTTAAACCAGTGGTTCTCAACCTTTTTAATGCCGCGACCCCAACCGGTCGTACGTCGAGGACTAAACCAGTCGTAAGTCGAGGACTACCCAACCGGTCGTAAGTCGAGGACTTTCCCTGCCCGGGAGCACCGCACATGTATGGTTCCACCCCCTGCGCCGGCCGAGGCGTAGCTGGCAAGCGGCAGAGACGGAGCAGGCCGACCACCAGCTGGCCCAGCCCAAGGGAGGTAAGGCACCCGCCGGAAAAGGGGAAAAAATGGCGGACAAAAAAAATGGCGGACAAAAAAATGGCGGACAGCCTTGCTTGGCGACCCCCGTGAAATGGTCGATCGACCCCAAATGGGGTCCCGACCCACAGGTTGAGAACCACTGATTTAAACGAAGTATTAATATTGCAAAGTCAACAGGTTGAAAAGATGCTTATTGTCAGATCTTGAAGTAAAGCAATACATCAAATTAAAGGAAATTTTAAAACGGTTAAAACATAAAAATATTATCATTAAAGCATACACAAAGTGTTTTAGTCAAAATTAAGTGCTGAAGATAAAATATGACCTTTTCAAAATGTGATTAAAAACTAAGCCAGTTAATCAGAAGACTGTTTTGGCATCCAGATCTGTATAAAGGCAACAGAATATACTGAACAATGACCCACTAGTCTCTATCCCCTCAATTAAACATGTATGTTATAATATTAATTATAACTTAATTATAATTAGAACAATTAACCAATGGAACAACCTGCCTCCAGAAGCGGTGAATGTTCCAACACTGGAAGTTTTTAAGAAGAGACTGGACAGCCATTTGTCCGAAATGGTGTAGGGTTTCCTGCCTGTGCAGGGGGTTGGACTCAATGACCTCCAAGGTCCCTTCCAGCTTTATTATTATTATTGTTGTTGTTGTTATTATTATTATTATTATTTATATGCAGACCTTAAGTATCAAGATAACCTAAATTAGACCCATTCATCAAAACCAGTATTTAGTATTAGCAACTACTTTTTTTTCAGGCAGCAAAAATGACCAGTTGCCAATAAAAACTGCTCAGCCTTTGGACTAAGGAACAGCTTTCTAAAATCCTTAACTTGTATGGGTAGACTATAAGAGTTGTGTCTCATCAATGAAGAATTATTCATCACAATTACACAACTATATTCCATACAGAGCATACTCAAATTGTTCCAATTTAATGCTAAAAAATTCCATCATAAAGGAAATCTCATCAGGTATCTGGATCTCCCACAAATTTTGCATTTATAATCTTTTCCTCTAATAAATGCAATGAAAATGATATTTCAATGAAAGGAAATATTTCAAGAACTGAATAGTTTTGATTATACAGTGTACAGTACCTTTTAAGAAAACTATGAAAATATAAATTGCTAGCTTCTAATAGCAACAAAATAGATTCAACAGTGAATGCAACAAGTACAGTCAGGATATGACGTTGACGTTGAACGATTTGTTTGAAGTAAATTTTGACTTTTGTCCTACCTAACATGACATAAACCATACGATAGAAACGAAATAGAAGATAACGATTAATCAATAAAGTTCTGATCGGTGAAAATGTGTGGTTATCTTTGATAAAATTTTTCATGTTTACTGTTTATAAGGATATGTGGACGACATAACAAAGAATTCAGCTTGAGTTTAGGAAAATCATTCCACATACTAACTCTTTTGTGAAGACTCTTTTTTGTTAAGCATTCTAAGGATCTCTCATTCCTTCCCATTTGTTCCCTGTGGTGCATATAATACTGTATTCTGTTTTGCAAACAATCATACATCTAGACATACTCTGGTAAACAGCCAAAAATTAAAGTTATTTACTGCCACACAAGTACTCATGAGCAGAAATCAAAAGCAGCTACAGTGAGGGTGAAAATATGATCCTACAGTTGTTGGGCATTTGATCTGCATGCTTTGGAAACGCTGTAAAAACTCACAGGGACAACTCCACAATTTGGTAGTTTTATATTCTATCAATTTAAATTATATCAAAATTAAGTAAGTATGTGCTTTCAACACATACTGTATACTGCAAGCCCAACTCATCAGTTGAACAGAAAAAAATGTAGTCCAAAGAGTTATGGATAAAAAGATTTTCTAACTTGGCTTTTAATACAACTACACTCTCAGCTCAGTGTCATTTTAAGTTATATTGTCTGATGTTTGCCTTAATATGTATATGTCCAGCTACTGCGTTTTGAAATCATGACTAACTTGTATCAACCCGTCCTTATCACGATTAAAGTCAAGAGTGAACTTTAAAACTTACCCTTTTGCATTGAGTGTACACCACACTTCACATGTACTCAACGGATTTTATACCACGAATTAAATTCTGGTATAAATTAGAAATCGATTGCAACAGTTATTGATTTCCTAATAGTGAGCAGAGTTGAATTAAAAAAAAAAACATGAAGCAAGGAAACAAGAATGCTATGGAAAACCAGGAGCGGGTTTCCAGCTGTTCCCTCCCCCCTACACTGAGCCTGAGGAGACCAAAGCAAGAAGCGAGGCTCCTACGCGCTTCGCCCTTAAGCGCTCTTAGTCCAACGGTCGCTGTTGAGGCGCGCGCCAGGCGGGTGAGTATTCTCGCCACGCCTCCTCCCTACCCGCCAGGTCTAGTCCCAGGAGCCAAGTCGCTCGCGCCTTTCGCGAGCAGCAGCACGCGCCCCGCGCTTTCCCGTAGCTTGGGGCTAAGAGCAGCTGCGTGCTTTGCAGCGGCGGCAGCCGCCGCCTCCTTCCACGCCCCGCCGGCACAATTTTCTTTTTTTGCGCACACGCCCTGTGATACACGTTAAGTATTTCTTTAAAAAGACAAACAAAAAGTAAAAAAAAAATAAAAATAAAAAATAAAAATGAAGGCGCAGCCACGCGGAAAACTAGTTACACGCGCCCTCTGCTGGAAAGACGCTTTGCAAATCCAAGAAGAGTTCAGGAAAACTGGAGGTGTATGTAATACAAATATATTTTAACAGGGTTGGGCAGCAGCACTTTTCGCCGGAGAGAGAAGATGGAGAATCCGAGAATATGCAAGCCGTAAGTA